TAGGTAAGCAGGATCACAGACAGGCTTTAACTGAGACAGGGTCAATCTCATAGAGACTTGTGTTGCATTTGTGTGTTTATGGAAAAAAAAATTCAGCTATAATTCCAGACGCTTAGTCTTAGTGATTAAAGAAAACGTGAGAGAGATTTAAAAAAAAAGAAATGACTTATAAGTAGGCCCACACAGAAATCTGCCTTTTTTAAAGTCCATCATTTAGCCAATTTATTTACTTGTAGAAGTGTGTGTACGTATGTATTTGTTTAGTTGAAGTTAAAATTAATTTTAATAATTTATTGAATGTATGTAAATGTTTATATCACGTGTTTACAATTTGTCCACAGTTTGAAAGAGATATATTTTAAAACAAGGGTTCCTAAACTTTTTAGCCCACGACCCCCAAAATAAAAATGCCAGTGACTCGCGACCCCCAATATCGTTTGAGGTGGTTCTAAAGATCTTTTTGCATGCAACGGTGCACACAAATCAATAGGCCCACGTCTGAATACTGTAAATGTGCAAGAAATTTAATCTGCTTTCATAAAATCAATCTGCTGTATTTGACGCTATAGGGTATATGCCAAGCTAGTGTTCTTCCCATACTGATAAACTTCCAGTGACCTGTTATTGTGAGTTTTTGTCTATTTTATATGGTTCTTTTTACAGCATTGATGTTGTAATACCATTAAAATACATTCAAAAACAAGATAAAAAGCCATTTACGCACGTGCCCGTCAGAATCAGCAGGCTAGTGCAGAAGCTCCATTAAATATACTAGGGCAAAACAAATGCTCATATTATAAAGACATGACGGGGAAAATGTAATTTAATGTGGTGCTTCTTGTACAATCTGAGACCCACTATATATCGGATATCACCCAGCTGTTTTAAAGAAAATAGACCTTAATCGAGCCAATTTTGCATTGACATATAGTTTACCATAAACGTTTAACCCAGGTTACTCGCAAATTAAAAGTCCTATTAGCATGCTTCGGCATATACCCTATTGCTGTCTTTAATAAAATGCAATTACTCCAATGGTCGCAATCCAAAAAAAAAAAAAAAAGAAAGAAATGTAAAGGCTACTACTACTATTTTTATCTTTAGCATGTTATAGATAAAATATGATAATTTTAATGGTTCAATAAAATAAACTAGATTTTTGGAAATCACCAAGCCCCGACCCCCACTTTAGGAACCAGAATAGATATTACGTGAAAGACTTGCTTTATTTACCAAACAAGTTGATCAAATTGAATTTACATTGTAAATTTTAAATTCAAGCTGAAAAGTTTTTATTTATTTAATGTTTATGCTTTTGTTACGGTTTTAGTTACTATCCTCTCAAATTCATTACGAAAAAAAATCTGCAGTTTTTTTCAAAAAGTTTTTATTTATTTATTTATTTATTTATTTATTTATTTATTTATTTATTTATTTATTTTATTAATATTTATTTTTTTTTTTTTGCAAAATGTAGCACAGAAATAGCAAAGAAAACATCTGATTTTGTCTGCCCCTGCTTATAATTCCTTGTGCTGCACTGCTAAATCTACAAGAAGTAAACAAATTATTTAAGAAGATAAAGACTAAAAACAAGTCAAATTGTCTGACAGTGCTGAGAGACGATTATAATCTTTAAATAAGAAAACTTTTGCAGGCACTAGTAAAAAAAGGAATTTCTTAAAACAAGCATTATGACACTTATTCCAAGCAGGGTAATTAGTAAATTATCTTCAACCTAGCTTGTTAATAGCTTATTTGGTGTGAAAAGGTTTTAGAACGAGTTATGCAGCAGGGTAATTCCATTCTGTATTCAAATGAGCCAAGACAATTAAACAATACTTAAAACAACATTAGTGTACCAGTTAAATCAAGAAATTCAATTTAAATAGAAATTCAAAATCGATTAATTAAATCAAATGTACATGCACATTGTCCACACTTTAAGACATGACAGTACACTACCTGACAAAAGTCTTGATGTTGATCCCAGTTGTAACAATATATATATATATATATATATATATATATATATATATATATATATATATATATATAGGTTTAGGTTTAGGTTTAACTTTTTTTGTCCCCGAGAGGAAATTTGTCTTGGGCATAAAAGGTGCTACAACATTGTCTAAACAGACAGTAAAAATAAATAAAACAAAACAATTAAGAACAAACAGTTAAGAACATACATTATTTACAGAATAAGACCGTATATAAATATAAATATATAAAACACAAGCACGAGCCCGTGTCGCTGCAGAGCTGTGCCAGCGGAAGTCTTATTTAATTAATATATATATATACCTTGTAGTTGGTCATTTGGAAAAGTTGTAGATTTTAGATTTTCCTGATCATCTGTTGAACGGCATTTCAATCATCTCAAATACAGTATGTAAAGTCAGTTTTTACTGTCCTAATTAAATAATTAAAAATCAAGGCATGATCATATTTTATTTTAGTAAAATATATATTTTGTCTTTCATATAAGCCATTTCTGATACCAAATGATCAACTAGAAGTCACATTATTATTTGTTGTTCCTAAAACTTGCATAGGTGACAAGACTTTTGCCAGCAAGTGTAATTAAACTGCAAAATTATTACCCTTTCTCAAAATACACTGAAGCTTATTGTAGCAAAACAATTGAATATACAGTTTACACTTTAATACATTCATTTATTTATTTTCTCTTCGGCTTAGTCCCTTTATTAATCTGGGGTCGCCACAGCGGATGCCCTTCTTTGGGTAACATCCATGCACACTCATTCACACACATATACTACAGACATTTTAGCCTACCCAATTCACCTGTACTGCATGTCTTTGGACTGTGGGGGAAAACGGAGCACCCGGAGGAAACCCACTCGAATGCAGGGAGAACATGAAAACTCCACACAGAAACATCAACTGACCCAGCGACCTTCTTGCTGTGAGGCGACAGCACTACCTACTGTGTCGCCCAGCTCTTTAATAATATGTCGCTAAAGCACAAGTATACTGTTAGTGTAATCAAGTGTAGGCAAACTTAAAACAAGATATCACAAATAAAATAAAACCTTAAAAATATAAGGCTTGTCCTAAATGATGTCTCCGATTATTAAGCTAAATGTGCAGTTAGAATACTACTAATATTACTAATACTCATAATAATCTTACACAACTTGATCTTACATAGCTAGTTGTTCAAACTACTTATTTAATCTAAGCTGAAACAACACAATTCTTGAGTTACTTTGATGATGACAACTTGATTATTTTATGCTTAATCTGCTTACATTTATATTTATATATATATATATATATATATATATATATATATATATATATATATATATATATATATATATATATATATATATAAACAATAAATTAACTTATTTTCTTCAAGTTGTCCCAACACAGGCTGATTTTGTGCAACCCAGCACTTTTCAGTGGAAAATCGTACCTCTAGACATCAGAAGTTTTCCATATATACTGTAAATGACACTGAATGAAAGGTTGAAAACGACTGCTTGAGAGCATGAATACAAATAAATCACTCGGCTTCCGAGCTCAGCAATGACATCTCATCTCATCTCTTTATCACTTCTCTTTTCATAAGATCTAATAATGAAAACAAGTCAAGTCTTTAGAGTAAGCTGACTGGAACACACAGCTGTGAGCTCGACCTGCTAAACACATGATCACTTACAGTAAGCCTAACAGAAACTCAGGCTGGACACACACACACACACACACAAACACACACACAAAAATGAAACTACAGTATGTGACCTCTTCTGTTCGTTTCTGCTTGTTGTCACAGAGAAACACGTCGGCAGCATTGTGCAGTTCAGAGCAAGGTTTTCATGGGCTTTGGTGTGGCATTTGCACTCTGACAGGTCTCTTTCACACCGGGGAGGAGTGGCAAGGCTTGGTTGTTTGTCATTCCCAGAAGATCATTATAAACCTGCCACTGGATTCAGTGATGTGCAACAGTGTACAAAACCGACTTGTATGATTAAGCAAATGACATCAAATGCAATCAATGACTAATTTTACTTATTACTGACAGTTTTGGTATCTATAGATAATAATAATAATAATAATAATAATAATAATAATAATAATAATAATAATAATAATAAGCAATTACAGGTATTTAGAATTGCCCACAGAAAAAAAATTTGTGCATGTTCATTATCATGAAAAGTTGAATTACTGAATATTGGCATATGTCTAGTGGGGAGAATAAATAAGTAGATGAATTGATGGTAGGCACGTAGGGACATTGGTAGATGGTTAAATAGATGATAGATAGATGTTGTATAAACAGATTGATACAGTGCATCCAGAAAGTATTCATAGCGCTTCACTTTTTCACATTGTTTCTTGTTACAGCTTTATTCCAAAATGGATTAAAATCTTTTTTTTTTTTTTCAAAATTCTACACACAATACCCTATAATGTCAATATGAAAAAAAGGTTTTTTGAAATTGTTGCAAATTTATAACAAATAAAAAACCTGAAATATTCCATAATCACATTGTCATTATGGGCTATTGTATGTAGAATTTTAAGGAAATAAATGAATTTCATCCATTTTGGAATAATGCTGTAAAAATTGAAGCGCTATGAATACTTTCTGGATGCACTGCATATAGATAGGTCAATGGGTAAGTAAGTAAATGAATAGATGGATTCATAAGCCTGTAGGAAGCTAAGGATGTTTACATGGATCATATAGGTACTTAGGTAAGTAGGCAACTGATTAAATAGTTTACTGTAATAGATGGATGGATGGATGGATGGATACTGTAGATAGATGGATAGTTGGATGAATGGACAGATGATAGATAGATAGATAGATAGATAGATAGATAGATAGATAGATAGATAGATAGATAGATAGATAGATAGATAGATAGATAGATAGATAGATAGATAGATAGATAGATAGATAGATTTAATATTGGTGATCTGTAATTTGTGTTTTTCTTTGTGTTTGTCTTCAGATGGATCATACAGAGAAAGCCTGTCGCTACTGCGGTGTGAGTTACTTGATTCTGCACGAGTTTCAACGTCTGCAGGAGCATTTGCGGGAAGTTGAGAGAGAGCTGGAGCAGATGAGAGGAAGTGCAGAAAGAGAAAGAACCCTGAGAATAGAGCTCCAGGAAGCTCATAGTCATCTGGAGGAGCTGAAAGCATCTGTGCTTCAACATGAGCAAACGTGAGTTTCAGTTTCTGTCACAGCTTCCTTGCCTGCACACATCAGACGATCCTCACACAAATATAAGACAGAATTTATTTAATTTCATTTAACAGGACATTTAATGGTTTTAAACAGGGTGTGTGCCACGCGAGCTGCCTTTAAAAATGTTATAGACAGATCTGGACTATCAACCTTTGTCTTGGTTCTGCTTTATTTAATCAATATTTCGCCTAGGCATACGTACATTTTAAAATAATGCATGGTTCCAAACAATTCATTTACATTGTCCCCACACATATCAATTTAGTTAACTCTACATTTGTTAACTTGATTTAAGCTGATTGAACATAACAAAATTAAATTCTTCCAAAAAATCTCAGAAATTTTGTTGTTTCAGCTCATTTTCTGTAAGTACTTAGAACAAGTAGCAAACATTTTTTGAGTGTACTGCATCTGTGACGCATGACATTCATTTTGGCATCACAAGATGTTTTCTGATTGTTTTCAGAGGTCAGATTGTATGTTTTGGCTCATTTAAGAGCTGTGCTTTGGGCAGTGTTGGGAGTAACGCATTAAAATTAATGCAAGTTATGTAATACTATTACTTTGTAATGCATTACCATTATCATTATCGTTTTTAGTTGAGTTAATTTGCTTATAAAAATTTAAATGAAAATGAATGTAGCTGTGTTAAATCCCACACACAATGAGAGACTGCAGGAACAGATAGATATGAAGACGCCAAAGCCCTACAATTCTGCGATTAAAATATCCTCATTATTTTGAGCGCACTGAAGAAAAGGAAAAGAGGATTATCTGAATGGACACTGATTTTACTTTAATAAGACAAAAATTGCAAAAGCAGCAAACACATTGGTTTAAACATTCATTAATTATATATACGCCATGTAAAGCTCTAGGGTCAGGAAGTTCTCTGAAGATGACATTATCCTACATTATTTTTTAAAGGTAAATAAAGGTTATACAGTGTGTTGTTAACTCCTATTAAAAAAAAAGAGCAAAGTTCTGAAAGTGATTAAGCCTCAGCCAGATCAGAAAATGTATACAAAAATACCTTCAAAAGCAGAAAATATCCTTTTTTACCATAAAAAGTAACTGTAATGAAGTTTACGGCCCTTTGGCCGCCGGGAAGAAAGAGGCGGAGAACCGACGCGGTTTTAAATTATTTATTAATAACAGGGACGGCAGCTCGTCATGGAGACTGCCATCAAACTGAAAGCAAAAGTAAAACAATATGCCTGGGCCCGGTCCTCTCTCGGCTTCCTCTGCCATCGTTCCTCCTCTTATAGTCCAGAGCTCCTTCCGTGGGATTCGAGGCTGGTGCGCATCACAGGCGGCCACTTACACGGTGGCCTCATTCCGTTCCCATAGCTCTCGGCCACGCCCCCTCACCACAGTAACTAAATAACACAACTAGTTACTTTTTTGGTGAGTAGCTCAATATTGTAATTTATTTCATAAGTAACTTTCCCCAGCATTGGTTTTGGGCTTTCAAATTTCACCCATAATACTTCAAAACCACCCAGGCTTATTCTGAAAACATGGTCCCGTGGACCATTCATCATTAATTGTAATGCTGTTCAAAACATAACATATGAATGTGTCTGAATGTAGCAGAAGCCTACTTTAGCAATGCACTGCTTTTGTTGTGCAAAATACAACATTTGAATGTTTGTAAAAAAAAAAAAAAAAAAAAAGTAAAATTTTACAATGCAGTTGTTTTAAAATACAATATATTAACATTTTAATATAGAAAAAGCCAATGTGGGTGTCTTTACACAAATACAGCGTATGAGCTCTTATATGTAGTTGTGTCATCACTCATATAGCAAGTCAAGTGATGCTTTTCATGAACCGGCCCCCATGACAAATTAATTGAAAAGCCCTGCCCTTAACCAAACCAATTTTACCGATTGACCTGCCCGCCTGCTTACTTCTGTAAACCCAACCAATGATTTGCAAAAGCCGTCCAGAAATAGAAAAGCCCTCGTCTTTTACCACGTTTTCCGCATTCTCACCCTGTTGTTTACTCGTTCGCTTTATTATTTTTTATTTATTTATTTTAATCTTACCTGATTTCTGGAACCATCCTTCCCCGGATCGAAACCGGTTGTTGTCGTCATCCTCGCCATCGCGGTCAACTCCTCTCTGCGCATTAAGTCCACCAACGTACACAATGAGCTAACTAGACAAACTTGTTGTGGTGGGAAGGCCCTCTACACGGAGGTAAGCGGTCAGTCGGTAAGCGCCAAAAGGAACAGCATCATACCACCCCATCGTGTTCCCTTAAAGAAATGAAATGCAGTCATACATACCTCCGGCTACATAATTCGCGGTCTCCAGAAACGTATGCAGGACTATGTTTTCAGAATGAGCCGGTGTTGCAACAGAACAATAGTTGGTTTTGAATTGACAATCACTATTCACATTTCTTTACAAAGTAAAATCATTCTTCATACAGCAGTAAACCACCAATGGGAACTTACAGAAAAGAGAAAGACTAAATCAATGTTATATCAAACCATCAAACCCCCCTGAAGTGTAATTTGATTCTATAACCTGTCAGTGCTGCAGAGGAACTAGGATTTTATACCACCAATTTTGCTCTTGCTTCTCATGGTGCTCTTTGTGTCACCTGCTGCAAAGTGGTTAAGCACCCACAGGCTAGAATATATAAACTCACTGATCTAGAAAATCTTACATCTACGGCATAACATACATTCAGGCTTTCAGTTCATGGCATCCACCCATCTCTTAACCAGAGCATTTATAGTGCTACACTTTAAATTCATACAGTACATAATCCTAGCTAGTCAAACACGTTAGTAAACCAGACCGTGAGTGAAAAATTCAATTGAATATGTTGGTCATGTGATTTAAAAACATACTGTATATATTGATGTGTAGATGTGTATGTTTGTAGATGTCTTTAGACCCTCTATATATAGCCAAGATAGTATTTTAAAGGGTGAACTTCCTCTTTTGCTCTTCTTTACCCTAGAACAGTTTTTTTTCTTATTGTAAGGCCCCATATTGTCCAGAACATGTCCCCTCATGTTAGATATTTGTGTTGTAATACCAAAGCTTCTTTTTTTTTTTTAATTTACACAATAACCATAATAAACAAAAACTGCACATTATTTATAAATAAAATTTAACCATTTTAAAATGTATGTTTTAATATTTAAATTATTACCAACATCAGAGGTATAAAATCCTGAAATTGTATTAAAAATCAGATAATTAAATACTTATCACATTGAATTAAGCACTTATGCTTTACTGGATTATTATTTGTCACTAGTTAGGATTAAAATCCAGATTGGCAAACCTTTTATGACTTGTTGCGAAAGTAGAAGCAAATTTCTTTTTCATTCTTTCTTGATTACAGAATATTTTAAGCCCCTTTATTTCTTATAAAATGTAATTTCTAAAATGTTTTTGTATTTGTCATGATAAAAAATACAATGAAAATAAATACATTGTAATTTTGATTTTAGATATTTTAATAACTTTCGATCATACTATTATGATATTCCTTCACATAAATAAATAAATAAAATTTAAAGTCAATTAAACCTTGATTTTTATGTTTTAACTTTTAACTTTTTATTTATTTATAAATAATTAATTTTTTTATTTATATTTTTAAAGCATATATATATATATATATATATATATATATATATATATATATATATATATATATATATATGGCACGAGGCCGCACGCCTCCCACCAGTGCCGATATACAGCTATATCGCACTGCTACTCGTGTGATATTGCTCATATATCGTAGCAGTGCGATAAGGCTGTATATCGCCACTGGTGGGAGGCATGCATTTGTGTCCCACTGCTACGAGTGTGATATTGTGTTTACAACAGTTCGACTACATAATCATGTTTAGAAAAAAGAAAATTAAACACGAGAGTCTAAAAAACATTTTGTATGAGGAACTACTTTCTTACGCCATTCATCCACATCTGCAGCTGACATCAGAACAGCAGAAGCCATTACTAATTTACCAACTTATTTTAGAGCTAGTATTTGATTGATTTTCTAGATGATTTTGCTGACAATTTAAGATTATAAGGCTGAACGGCTTGAAATGGCATCAGTCTAGGGAGATTTCTCAGTATTTCTCTGTTGCAATCGGGATATCAAAATAAATCAACCCCAAAAAAGCCAAAGCAATGCAATCACTACCAGATTGTTGTTGCGTTTTTCGCTAAACACACGCAGGCATTTCTTATTTCTTTCTGTTTGCTGAACTAGTTTGCAGTATCAGAAACAGGAGACTCATTAGAAACAAACAGTTGACCAAACAAAAAGTAGCTCAGTTATACAAAGAGTGGCCAACAAAAATACATACATTCCTGATATGCGAGTCCCATCTCACACTCAATACACTACAATTACTATGGTATAAATACAGCACTGCAACATTAAAAAGAGAGAGATCAACTTGGAATGTCACTCAACAATTTTATAATGTTTTGATTAGCTGTTGTTTAAAATTACGACAATCTTTTCTCCTTATTATGAGTTTCATTATGCGGTCTCTAGCACTACCTTGTGGATGGACAATGTCAACCATCTTTGCTCTGCTCAGTGACATGCTGGTGGATGCTGACATGCCGTCTCAGAAATTATAAATATGTAAAATATGCACTATCCATATAAATAAACTGCAAAATTGCAATCTAAACAACTACATTATCGGCTAAAAAGCCTCTAAAGTACAATATGTTGTCCAACAGCTGCAACATGTCAAAATGTGAGTTTATTGATCTGCTCTTACTCAGTGTGTGCGGAGTGGGCGGAGAAGGGTGAGGAGACTGTACAAGTTCTGATATTGCAAAATATTGCACGACTATCAACCAATTATTAGCCCCCTTTGAATTTTTTCTTCTTATTTAAATATTTGCCAAATGATGTTTAACAGAGCAAGGAATTTAAGGTTTGTCTGATAATATTTTTTCTTCTAAAGAAAGTC